CTAAAACTAGAAGTACTCGCAAACGAAAGCTATTTGTATTCATTTTGGGAGGAATTTCTTATAACGATTTGATTTCAATGTCTCAACAGTACGAAAACGATGTCATATTCTGTGCCAATGGTCTCATTACTCCGAAAATGTTCATTAATTCAGTGGTCTATCAATAAATGAACTCAATCTCACAAATACACCACATATTAAACAAAGTTTAAACTAACCTTTGCCTGTAAATCCAAACAATAATATGCACACATTATATATAACATAATTAATGTTATACCTGTTAAGGCACACATGTTCTCTAATTATTTTAATTGAATAAAAATTTACTTTCCAAGTTTTCTATGAATTATCTCAAACTTTAATTGTAAACGTTTTACAAAAACAAAGTCTAAAGCTTATAGCAATAATATACTTACAATATGAAATTATCTACGAATACAACTTGTAGTATTAAATGATTTAAATACACAACAGTCACACAATTTGGAGCAAAGAATACCATATTGAGGTAAATATTAATATATACATTAAAAAATAACTTCTACTCTTTTGAGATTTGTTAACTATTAATTACAATTATCACTTACAATAATCTCATACTCAATCATTTTAAACACCTATTTATGAAAATACAAAAATACTTTTAATGATAATAATTCATGAATTTACTAAGTGTCCTATAAAATTTGTAATCGCGTCAACTGGTAATACGGTAACAATGTCTTACTAAGTAGTCATTAATATAAATTTAAAATACAAATAAGAACTTCTCGAAAAACATTAAATACACTACTTAATAATAATAATACTTTACAATAATTATGATAAAGAATTAAGACTTTGAAAAATATCAATAATAATAAAACAATAATAAAATACAAATAATAGTTAAACTCTAAAACATTGTCTCAATCCTGAGTAATTGGGCTCATCTTCGAACTCGTAATGACTTATGATTTGGAAGTATTGGACGAAACGTGGAGACAGTCCTGTAATCGACACAAAACACCATTAAAAATGCACACAAAAAGCGGACATTCAAATGACATACCGGCGCACAGCTCCTCCAAACTGGTCTCTTTCATAGCGGTCCCGATCTCGCGTATAGTCTTCGTGGACATGAGGTTCCTGTGCTTACGGCTCATCCACGGCAGCGACCCTTTGGCCATAAAGACGATGCAATAGCCGAGAGACTCCATGTCGTCCCGACGCGACCGACAGAAGCGGTTATGGTAGCCAATGGAGTGGAAGTTGGGGTCACCCACCGGCAACTTCTTGTGGTCGTACACGGGCTCCGGGATGTGAGCCAACGTGCCATTGGTTCGCAGCGCAACATATTGTTTGCTATATCGCAGACCAATCGCTTTAAGACCGGCCGCGGGCTCGCCATCCATCAGCAAGTTCTCGGGCTTTAGCGAGCAGTGGATCCAACCCTTTGAGTGCATCCTTTCCACGCAATCGATCATTTGAACGGCCAATCCGTACACTCTATCCATGGGCTCAATGACACCGCTCGGGAACCGCTTCATGGCGTCCAACAGGTTTGGGCCCAACCTCTCCAACACTACGAGACCCCAACGGATGCAAAACGTATCGCTCTTCCAGTCGTTCCACCTATAGATCAGACATCCATTGCATGAGTGGTCACATCGCGCGAGACAATCACCGCACGTATACCTAATGTAGTCGCGCATCAGAGCGGCGCCACAACCGCTCAACTTCTTGTAGGCCTCCATCTCACGCATGAGTGCCTCGAAGCCACCCTCGATGGCCACCTTCGCTATCATACGAGTGTCGGCGCCGTCCTTATGGCACACAAAGAGCGCCGTACGCTTCCCGACGGCCACCACTTCATCCAAATGGTAGCCAAAGACAACTTCGCCCACTTTGGGCGGAAACTTGTCGTACGGCTGCGGAGGAGTGGCCGCCAGTGGGGGCGCCTTCAGGGGCGGCACGTCCGGCCATTCGGGCGCTTCGATGCGCTCGAGACTGAAGTTAAGCAACAGGTTGGAGATGTCGTTCATCGTCCTGTCCTTCGCCGATATCCTCTCCCAGTGGTTCCACTCGTCTTCGGTGTGTGGCATCCGGTGCTCGTAGTAGTGCTCGAGAGCGGTGTCGATGCCATTGCCCTCCAGGTCTCGCTGGCGCTTCGCACGGGTGTCCGCCTCCACGTGCGATCTCTTCAGACATGTCTTGGCAGCAGTGGTGGTGTTGTCGGTGGCCTCCATCTGATCCATGGCTCGAGTGCTGATGAAGTGATGAATGCAATACTCGTCACACAAACCACTCGTTTATGGTTTGAGTTTTGGTTTCGCTTTTAGAAAATCATATGAAATTCACTTCACGTCTGATTGGCTATCGTTTGCATTCATATATAACGTATACACATATGAGGGGACGTGCGATGGGTTTAGTTTGCATTCATTGCGTGTAATGTAATCAATGCGAGCGGTGGGCCACGATTTCAGTGGTCATGTAGTGTGTGAGTAGCGCACAGTGACATATGACTCACTGATAAGTCGCTCACTGAGTGGACATCAGTGAAGATTTAATGAGTAATTGATTGCAAATTAATGACACACTTATGACACGTACTAAGCATACAGTCATCACTTAATGTGACCCAAAGGTCACAAACAGACCAATGACTGCACTGTTCACTAAATATTGACACGTTTCCTGAACTCGCGTACAGTTTATTGAACCTATAGTTCGCCACAAACTGTACACAAAAGTATAATCTGTTGCTGTATTTCACTATGAATTTGCCCTTTAAATCAAAAACACATAAAAGTCCCACAAATTGATTGAATTATAGCTAAAATGCTGGCATTTTCACGCCTTTCACTAATGCATGCGTTTAATGGCGAAAAAGTTTTGCAAACTTTTGTAAAACTTTTTTCAAATCTCTCTCTGAATGTCACCTATAGTTGAGTCAATCGTATTGAACTGTATTTATCTTATTTATGGCGTAATCTTATCTCTTAAGAGGAATATTATCTCTTAAGTCAATACTACTCAGCCATATGACTGTCCATGAGATGACTACTTGTGTGACACAAATGTGATCCTTATTTCAAATGACACCTAATTTAGTGAATGAAGTGTATGTGAGAAAAATGACATCAAATTACATTTTATCCTCAATTCATGAAATTAAAAAGTTTTGACAAAAAAGTTTTCTTAAACTTTAATTTTCTTTTTCTGAACACATTTTTCAAATACAATTAGATTCGTATGAATGGTATAAAAAGAAAATTATTTATTTTATAATCAGGATATGAATGGATAACTCATTACATGTTTTATGAATATTATGTAAAAATGTATGAAAATTAAGCGTA